CACCGGACGTGAGAGCGAGAGAAAAAGAGAAAGTATACATATATGGTGTCTAGTAATGCCACACTAATTCTCTATTTTACACAGACATAAACGTTCATTGTTCTTCACAGCTATAGTATTAATTTCTAATTTCTCAAGCAAATATCACCTACAGGAAAAATCCAAATCCAAATCCGAAAATATGGAAAAAAGCTAGATACATTTCGTCTGTAATCGGGCGATACGCGACTAGCTGCCGTCTAGATTACTAGTTTCAAAAGTGACTTTTAACTAGATGAGTCTGCATGTGCAACTAGTAATAGTTAGATCGATCGATTATCGGGCGATAAGCGATAGTTGCATTGAGGAGAAATCTAGCAATCACCCGGTTACTAGATTTCCACTATCGTTACCCAATAGTTGCAGTCGAGTAAAAATCTAGTAATCCAGGTGAATCGGGCTATTCTAGATTCTTTTTTTGACGCTTGGGTTGTATTATAGCAAAAGTAATGTCCGATATACGTTGAATATCGAAGTTCACTTTTGGCGATATTGAAAAACATATAAAATATAAGCTTGATAAAGTCTGTGGCGGCACCGCTGACAATCACATGAAAAATCATTTGCTTTACACTTTGAAAAGGGTCATATCTTGAGAATTATTATTAAAACCGACAGTGCCACAGCTGACATAAGTGCAAACGTTACATACAGTATGGCTAAACACTATGTTTGTTATGTTAAAATTAGTTTTGCTGGTCTGAGTATGCCTGGTTAGTTTAATTTAACAGTTTCTTTGCTTCAAAATATGTAAAAAGAGCATAATTTTCTTGGAAGTTTGTCAAGTGTATCGGGTAAATGTGACTGTAAATATAACAATTACGGATTCTACGGTCACGTCTGTTCGATTTTGTACCGGTTAGCATCGTATCAACTAATTAGACTTTTTGTGTGGTATATTTCTTCCAAACTCATTTTATTGGATACCTGTTGCGCAAAATCACGGTTTTATGGAAAAGTGGATACCCAAGCAAACATCACATATGGAAAAATCCAGACACATTTCGTCTGTAATCAGGCGATACACGACTAGCTGCCGTCTAGATTACTAGTTTCAAAAGGGTCTTTTAACTAGAGGAGTCTGCATGTGTAACTAGTAATAGTTAGATCGCTCGATTATCGGGCGATAGTTGCACTGAGGAGAAATCTAGCAGTCACCCGGTTAAGAAAGATTTCCACTATCGTTACCCAATAGTTGCAATCGAGTAAAAGTCTAGTAATCTAGATGAATTGGGCGATACTAGACTTTTTTGTTGACGCTTAGGTAGTTTTCATATGTCTTCCGGTTAGTCAAAATAACTCATAATGTTGGCCCTTAATTTTTGAATATACTCGTTTATGATGATTAAAAATACGGCCATCAGATGGAAAATTATGGATTTGTTGAGATACGTGAAACGATGCTACAGGATTAGTAGCACCTACACTATTTTCTGCTTTAATTATTATTGCAACTATTCACTCATCATGAAAATGGCGCACAGTATACTACATTTGTTCTAGATCTTAAATTGTATGAAGATCTAACGTTCAAGGTGCATCTGAGAGAATACCTATATGTTTTATTTTATTTATAGTTTATTGCTCACCTTTTCTACTTTACCTTGAGACACATCTTATCAAACTTAAACATCAGTAATTTAATAAACATTATATACGACAAGACAAAGTACATTGAAATATTTTTGAAAGGACTTTTGATTAAAGACATGTTGGTTGTTCGGTCGCTCGTCGAACGCGAGTTCGACACCAGCCAGTGGCAACGGTAATTCCAATTTCGAGGTTTCATGTTTTCAGCATACGTCCAGTCTTTTGATTCGTAAAAATCTCTTCATTTGAGTGTTGTCATAATTCGCATGCAATTTGTATCGCCATTTTTTCGCTCCTTTTTAATGTCGATAATTATGAGAATTATGTAATGCATTGGAGTTTTGGACACCACTTTCGAAGTGACATGCCCTACAAAACTTGCATCCAAGTCACTTCTTTTCGGTAGAGAAAATCTAAAGTCCATTTCTGTCTCAGTTCACAAATTATACGGAACGACATTCTAAGATTAAATGGATAACTGACATGTACATCAGCCAACACCACTTTACTTGGAGTACTCGGACTGTGCGTAGAGTAGAAAGACGTTTTATAAACCATATATGATCCGAGTCACCAGCAATTCCCTGACATTTCCAACGTGTTCGGCTATATTTTATGTAAATATGAGAGATTTCTGTTGGAATAGCCCTATGCTTTTATTTTAGTTCTAGGAATATCGTGGCTAGGTTAAGTTGTTCTTCATTTACCTGTTATGGATGTTTTACACCTCTATATCCATCAACCAGAGATGCAGTCGGTCAACAAGATCATGACCGGTGACTTGCGTACATGTGCAGACCGAACGGTTGACCGACCATTTTTTTAAAAATTTGATGGGTAAGCGACCGCTACTTAAATTTCTCAAGAACTCTTTTGGGATAGTAATTGCTATTGATGATCAGGCCGGTACCGGTCATGATTTTGTTGACCGGTTGCATCTCTGGGTTGATCTGCGTGATTATTTGCATATATGATCAGCTGTACCATATATCCGACGATCCGCTCGTGTGAATGCGAAAGAAGTATGTTTAAATCTGTGTGATATGTTGTCAAATAAAATCAGATTGATTAAAGTGTTTACTATCATAGGGAGAAATATCTGCATTGCATCTTTTGCATTCTTCTCCTGATTAGGAGTAAAAAACTTGCCGAATGGTTTATATGTTACTATCAATACTAAAAGATGGAGCTAAAAAATTACTTTAAGCTCAAGTTTCATAGACAGTTATAAAACAGACATCAGTCAATACATGCAGGCATTACGTATAGACCGGAAAAATATGAATATTTCAAGCAGAGAATAATGGATGCGACTATTATCCTTTCTTTGAGTAGTACAAAATGATACTAAATATGCTTTATCTGTCGTATTTTCTAGTTATAAGTCAAGCCGACCGGACTCGATCCAACAGTTTCACCGGAACCGGTCGAGCTGATAAGTCTCGATCGGATCGAACCGGAAACTGGCGCCCGATTCGGTTGCATCTCTGCCATCAACTCTTGACTGTCAATTAACTTAGCATGAGAAAATGGACTAGTTTAAGTTATATTTTGATCGATTTCAATCACATGACGGGCAACGAGGTAGAATCTTGTTGTTCTTTTCAACCCCAGTACTACAGACACCTGTTCTAGTTGATTTCACTGGAAGACGACTGAATGCATCATATAACAAATAATTTTTGCAAAAACGATAATGACACTTTATTATCTATAGTGTTGACCAAGCAATTGTACTTCGGTAGTTATACGTAAACTTGTAATAACTTGTTTTCTGTGCCCCTAAAAATTTATTTTACGTTTATCGTCGTTCTCCTCTCTGTGAATACTACTGTCATCAAAAATTCCATCATTCCATCTGGCATGCTTGCTGAGATATTAGTCATAGAAGGTGAAAAGTTCAAATTTCGATCTCAGCCACGAATAAAATTCGTTGTCCATCCGTGCATGGCGTTTTCTTTTTGGGGACACGGAGAAATGGGTCCGGCCATGACCTTGTATGCCTTTTCTAAAAGCCATACAGGCTCGGTGGATTCCGCTAAGAGCGTACCAGCGCCTTAGTACTAAGCAACCGAATTTGCTTCTTGGATATATATAAGTATGCTTCAGGTGATTTTGGCACCATTCTTTTCCAAAATTTGAGCCCACATGGAAGTGACACAGCAACACCTTAGTATCATCGATTAATAGAAGAGTTTCTCATTTGTCTTAGAAAAACTATGTTTACAAACTACCACTTCTATATTTCTCAAAAGAAACGTTTACTTATGGACTAAATTGTCCAAGAAAGTAGACTCTGAGGTGTTCTCATCCCCATTCTGTGCACTGCCATACTGTCTTCTGCCCCTACTGATGATATAGACAGAGGCTGATACAAGTAGTATCGAGAAGATGGAACGAGAGCAGACAGCACGTGTTTATAGAGAGAGACTTCATCACAGAGCAGAAAAGCTATCTATGTGTCGGTTGAAATTGAGATTGAATAACGTTTGCCAGATATTTAGTTTGGTTCTCAAGAAAATCCATTTTACTGGAATATTTTCTCGTTACGGAAATTTTTAAAAGTTTTGAGCCGGCCACTCTGTTCGTGCCATGTGCTGAATGCTTTCTTTCAGTCTAAGGCGGGAACGAGACAGATTTGTGAGGTCAGTTTAGAATAAATCGTTAGAAAACGGAATAGAAGATCATGGTCTTGTATTTTTTCCCGAGATGTTCAGATGACCGATTATTATTAATTATTCTATTTAAGCTGTTAATCATGTTGAATTCCTTTTTGTTTTGATATACAGAAATATCACACTCTAAAATAAAATATTAAATGTTATATTTTTACAATAGATGACGTCGTCTATTCGAACTCCATATTCATATTCCATTTTTATTAATTTTTCGAAGTATTTTTATGTAATACTATCCTTCAGTCCGCTTTTGCGTCCAAGCAGTCGAATAAGTCAAACATACAAAGATAGATGATTCAGGTTCTACAATGATAACATAGACTATTGAAAATGCCCCCTCTATAAACACCACTGTAGTCACCTCAAAGAAACAAAATGATGATAAATAAGGAGAAAAAAGCTTTCAAAAACATAAGGCAAGAAAAAAGAAGGAATATGTATTATCAATATTGAAACGTGATATAAAATGACAAAAGAGAATAGAAGTAAAACAAAAAAAAACCTCGAGCTCATTTTTATTTTATCAGTGAATAAATATAACACAATCAGCTACACATTTACTAAGAGTATTAAAACATTTAATACATTTTACTTGTCATATTGGTTTTAGATTACAGCATTTGAAAAATTTAATTTCATTATTTTAACTTAGGCACTTCATACTATATTTAAAATTTACTAAACTATATTATCATGCCAAGAGGACGATTAGAAGTTCAGATTTTAGAAGGTCGAGAATTGAAGGACCAAGATTTGGTGGGACAAAATGATGCCTATATTGAACTTTATGTTGATAAAAAATATAAACAACGTACCACAACAAAGAAAGATACGAATAATCCAGTTTGGAATGAAATATTCACGTTGTACGTATAGCATTGTTTATTATAATTATACGTCTTATATGTTTGATTATTTGCTATTTGCAGTAATATAAGGAAAAGAAGATCAACAAATCATGATTTTATCTAACCGTTTGATCAACTAACTCTTACTTTTGCTCTAAACTGTGAAATATTTGATGTGATAGTTTCTACCGTAATCTCCTCTTGTGTGCCTTCAAAAATAGTGTAGAAATATCGGCAGTGTGGCAGAATGGAATAAAATGGCTGTGACAGCGAGCGTTACATGGCAAAAGAGAAAAAAATAGTTGAAAAACGATACCATTATCATGGGCTTTTGGTCCATAACACTGTGTGTTAATGAATGCAAAAAATTATTTACGGGGTGTATTGCAACAAGTTGCACAACTGAGAAGTGCTGCAACAAGATGCAACTGATTCAGCGTGGCAACATTTGTCAGTCCTTTAGGTTCATCTATGCGTTGAGGATGCTGCTATTAGACACAGGCAGGAAATTTTTATTATACAATTATGTCTACCAGAGCTGGAAACTGTCGCTTAAGCTCCATTATGCAAACCATGTTGAAAAACTTCATTAGCAAGTTGCACTTCTGTACATTTAATTCTGTTCATCGACTTCTTTTTTAATGATAAATCTATGTTCCTTAAGAGTACCCTCCTTTCCGTAGAAATGTTGTTAAATAAAATATAAAACTCACTAAAGCTTCATGTTTTCAGAACTGATTGAAAACTCAATAGAGCACTTTTTCATTTTTATTTCAAGTATTTAACTATTGCCGTTCATCAGTTTTCCACAAAACTTGATTTTTCATTGGATCACATTACGGCCCCCTTAAATTCCATTCGATCGAGTTAAAAATTTTACCAGAGGTACTCAAGGTCATAGCGTAGAGGTATAACTTTGGAATTTTCTTTTAGACCTTTCTTGACCGAGTTATAGGAAAAATATCGAAAAACTTTGAAAAACCAAGTTTTTAAATTTAGAAATCTTATAGCTCGATAAAGAAAGGTCTAAAATAAAATTCTAAAATTCTATGTCTGCGCTGTGACCTTGAGTACCTATGGTAAATTTTTAACTCGATCGGATGAAATTTTTTTCGGATAGCTTTTTTAGGCTTTGAAGGAAAAACTTCAAAACTGCATAACCTTTTGAAGAAAGGTTATAGAGTGCTGGGAGAGGTCTTATTATGTAGTTCACACTGTTCTCTACATCAGGTTAGCTCAGCTCAAAATCCGAGATTTTTTCAAAAAAGAAGAGATGACCTTAAAAAGACCATTGACTACATCCAAATTTTAATCGTCTAATAGTCTACATATCTTATATGAACTACAGACTTTCTTCTACATTCACTAGTTGTTCTTTTTTTATAGTAATTTAGATAAAGGTGATGATCATATTCATTTTGATGTATACGATGACGATGTGATCGGAAAAGATTCTATTGGTATGAAAAAAAAATAAATAAATAAATAATTTTCTTTTAGTTTTGCAGAATTGCACATATGATTCTATATTGTTGATCATTTTTCTACTATTAATTTTATCTTGTTATAGGAAAATGTAAAGTTAATCTGAAACATGTTTTTGATGATGGACGATACGATGAATGGGTAAAGCTACCAGCATTCCTGGGCCTTTCATCTAAAGGTCAAATTCATATTAGAATGAATTTTTCTGTAAGTATCTTTCTATAAATGCAAGTTTGGTTTATAATTGGATTAAACTTCTACTAAGTTTCCTCTAATTATTTTAATCATGTATAATTTTTGTTTCAGCCATCTTAATCATATGTATGCTGTTATCCAGAATGAGAATTATAAGAATAACATATGACACCATATGAAACATTTACATTTTTGTCAACATCATTCATTTTCTAACATAAAATTGCTTTTTGTTCTTACTTAAAAAAAAAATAAACATTTACTGTGACGCATATACTTTTCTGTTTTAATAGTCTCTCTCGTTTGGTTTCGCTTTTCTTTATTATTGCACCATTTGTTTGAAAGAATGTGCCAACTTCAATAGAAAACTATCCTGCACTCAAAGACAACATATTCTTTTAATACTTTTATGCTTTTTTGGATAAATAAAGAAATTTGTCCAACCGTTGAAACAAAAAAAAATTAATTTTTTCTAGCAATATTGAATTTTGCAGTCTCAATAACGTTTCCTCAAATTAAATTTTATGCTTTTGTAGAAAATGACAAAATGAGCTATTTTAAACCGAAGCAAAAGTTGAACAATGTGTCTGGAGTTGAGTGACACTATAATCACTAATTTGTTGAAGTAATTATTTCTCAGAAAATAATGGTTAATCTAAATGAAAACTATTTTAAAGAAAAATAAAACTATTTATTAAGTAGAATTGAATTAAAAGTATTTAAATGAAAACTCACTAGTATTGGTGATGTATCACATCCTTGTACTCGTGGTACTGCGTGGTGAAATCATCATTAATACTTTTTCAACGAAAAGATTGTTAAAACTGTCAAGCCGAGATATGGAGTAGATATTTTGTTTCTAGTATGTAGGATCGAATCTGAATTCTGGTACGGTCGTCTAGAAAATATTGTTTTAATAAACATTAGAGTTGTCCAAAGGACATTTTATTTTTAATTTACTTATTTCTACTGGCGATGATGGCAATTTTTGCTATTTAAATATTTACATATTTTATCAATCCACGCTGTTAATTTAACACAACACTTTTATGGTTCTAGAAGGTGGCAGAACGTGTTTATTTGTTGTTTTTTTTATGACAGATAGTAGTTTCTGCGTTTCTTTCTTTCTAAAAGCTTGTTTTAATAGACACTGCTACAAAAAGTCGGCAGATGATAATCACTTACTTTTAACCAAACGCTTGAATATGTCTGTGCAAAAATGAACCGTATAGTAAATCTATTGACCATACTGTTTCGTCCATTATCAATTATGTGAAGTCAAGATAAGCACTATTCAAGAGAGCTTATCAGAACAGAGTGAATCATTTTTAGAATTTAACTCAATATTCGAAAAGAACTATTGCTATGAGCCTCGTCTATTTGTTTGTGTTGATACATAAAGCAGGACAAACAGGATGAAATTATATACCAAGAAGGATAAAAGGTCGTCCACAGAAAGTTAAATCAAATAATATTAAAAGCTTCTGTCTCATGTTTAATTTGATTTTTATTTGAAATATAGAAATGAGAGATAACGTATCTCTTTTGAGAAACGCAATTTCTTGCCAAAATATTCGTTCTCAAAAGAAATAGTTTTCTTACTTAATTGAAAGAGATACACAGCAAAATATGAATTTGTATCTCGTATGAGAATTAGGGATGCAACGGTAACAGTAACCGCACCTTACCGGCCCAACCGGTTCTGACTGGTTACCGTTACCGGTGTCAACCCGCGACGACTGCAAAAGCTACGGTCGGACTTGTACATGTGCATATTATTTTTTTGCCCCTTCTCCTTTGATACAAAACTTTTTATTAGATGTATTTTTGAATCACTGCTTCTTGGAGAGCAAATTATTGCTTGTATACAAAGAATTTGCTTCATAAAATAGTCAACATGTAAAACAATAAACTTGAAAAACAAAAGAAATATTTGCTACACAATTCAAAACACAAAATAAATGTTTCTTTAATCTCAATTTTTTGTTAATCAACATAACGTTGAAGAAAAATACTTTTCAACATGGAACAATCGGTGTTTTAACTCAAACTAACTTAAGAACTCACATCACTCACAGAACTGGTTGGACCGGTAATGGTAACCGGTCAGAACCGGTAACCGTTAAACTGGTTAGACCGGTAACAGTTAACCGGTTGTCAACCGTTACCGTTGCATCCCTAATGAGGATACATATTGCATTTCTTCTGAGAAGCTTCCAAATGAGCGTTTTGAGCTCTGAAAAAATACAAATGAGCTCGGTTAATTTTATTTTTGTCCCCATACAAAAATACTCTACAGAGAACACTAGCTCCATCGACTACGTAACCGAGCAGTTATTCACATGATGGATCTAGCTAAATGTATCCAAGTCCACTTTCTTATCGCATGTCGCGACGCGAATTTCTGCAAAAAATCGCGGCAGAATCGCGTAACGCGTTCGCTGAAAGATCCGCGAAATAACACGCGATTTTTAGCGATCGCTATTTTTTCGCGCTCATACAAAAATCAATGACTGTCAAGTATTTTGCTATAGTTACTATTTATTCGCGTTTTCCATCTAATATCAGTAAATAAGCCACGTTACTTTTACCGCGAACGCAGACGAATGGCGTATGCGCGATGTGACTGCGCAAGACTATATTAGTCCTGTCGTAAGCTATTATTTTAGCTAGTAATAAGATTTTGAAGCGGTAAGATTAGTAAAGATGTGATGTGATTTTGAAAATTTTTCGAAAAACCAGTAAGAGTTATATACCAGGCGCGTAAATAAAACAAAAGGGTGAATAGGATTTGCAAGGGAGACGAACCGTGCCGCTGTATCATATCGCGATTGTAAGAGAAAAATACGATCGCGAAGTGACAATTTTTTCTTATAGTGCGCTCGGATCGCGAAGTCGTACCGCGGTCGCTATTGTCGCTTCACGATCGCGCCGTGACAACAGTAACTTCTCAGTGATCGCGGCGCGACGGTAACAAGAAATCGTCACGTCGCGATCGCGAATTACAAATTTTTTGTAAAATAACAGTTGGTCGCGAACGCTCCGCGACAATAGCGACTTCCTAGCGATCACGACATGAGCGCGGAGCGTCCGCGCTTCGAATCAGACAAGAGAGTGGACTTGGGTACCTTTTTACTTAGTTAGGTAGCTCCAACCTAGTAGTGAACCGAGCACTAGGTTATCATAAGAGCGGGAAGTTGACAACTAGGTTAACCGCCTAATTAACCGACCGATTAAGCTAGCTCCCAAGACAAAATATACTTAATAAGTGGGTGGTTGTCAAGTAGGTTAACCGGGTGGTTGGAGGGTCCGGTTAACCGGACACTATAAGCTAGCTTAAAAAATAGGAAAAAGAATAGTTGCCTAAAAAGAGTCGAACTCGCCAACTATAATGCATAGTATAACGCGTAGTCGGAAGTACGCGACTTTTAACCAACTAAGCTATCAGGTACACATGTAGTAGTTCGTAAGTGATGAAATCATTGGGAAGATATTTTAGAGATTGGTGTTTTCTATTAGAAAAAAGCATTTTCAAAAATTGTATCTCGAATATAAAACGTGGCAAATTTAATTTTCTAAATTTTATGTGTTGAGACCAGATTTTCACAAATCGTTCTTCATGGTGGAAATAGTATTTACTATTTTTCACCGTGAAAATCGATCTGTACAAAGTTGAACCTAGCAGATAAAATTTAGAAATTTAAATTTGCTACATTTTTGTCTCAAGATTCAACTTTGGAAAACTCTTCTGTCATCGTAAAAAATCAGAATATAACCAAAGAGACTATATTTTTTAAACTGGGTTGATTATCAGCCTTATGCAGCCCCCTACTTTGGCGAGAATTCAGAGAGTCCAAAACATATAAATTGCAAGGTAAAACTTTCATGGATAATCTTACATGAAATAATCACATACATAAAACTGAACAAAATCTGATATTTGAAAAAAATTTAAGTTAAAACAGTAGTCGGAAAAAAAAGGGTTTTACTGGAATTTTGAAGTTTCGAAAAACGGAGGTTTTGGTGGAAAAACCTGAATTGCCAAGCACCCAAACGTCGAGGGCTAATGAAAAGCATTTAATCAAAAGCACTTTTTCATAATATTAGCATTACTCGGCACTAATTAATTATGAATTAATGCCTTAAAAAATTTTTTTTGAAACTGTAACTATTGATCATTGGCTACGAAACTACGCTAAACGAAGTTTCTACGATTACTTTTTGACTGAGCTGAAGGCTTTTTAAAAATAGGCCTAGCAATTAAATGTTTTTCTTTAAACTTTATCTTAATTCTATGAATACTTACTGGCTCTCCGAAAATAATTCTGGATATATGCAGTCAAGTATCTCTATAATCTGAGGTTTAACAGTACCTTTTGTGGGAGTCCTCGTTAAACTGTGCCTTTAATCGATAACGGTTTTAATAACAATTTATGTTTCTCGCTCTTATCAAGACGATGTTGAATAACGAAATCGAACTCACTCGGTTTTTATTTGCCATCTTGCAAGCACTTCAGTGGATCTTTCGCAAACTTTTACAATTGGAAATAAACAGTCAATAACTTATAATTACGAAAGATGCTAACAAAATAAATGAAAAAATTATTTCTATAAGTTTCAACAATCAGTATTTTTAATGATCTGATCGTAAATGGTCATATATGTAATCGAAGTTTTCTATTTTAAAATATACTTATCCAATTTTACTTTATTATCTACAACCAAAAGTGGTATTAACAAAGTCACCACTCTTCATGACAAATAAATAAAAAAAAGTTATGTCAACGTACAAGTTCGTCATTATCATGTATTAATATCAACAGACTACATGACACTACATATAAGTGATTGTTGTTGAGAAGATGTAATAGGTACATATTTTTTTAATTCATCTAAAAAACATAGATAAATATTCAACGGTAACACTTGTTTATGCAATTGGTTTAATTCAGAGTTTAATGATTGATACATTAAATCGATATTCGAGTCGCACATTTTATACATTCGATAAAGTTTTTTACCATCCATATTTTGACATAATGGTATCATACATTCAAATTTATGATCACGAAGAAAATCAATAACATCTGTTATTGTCCATAGTTCAATATTAGTTTTAATACAATAGGCGAATTTTATTGATTGCCTATCATTGCTAGAATACTAGAGAATAGATTATTAGAAGAAACAGAAATGATCTCTTACTTTGAGGACTCTTGTGGTGTTATTGATATAAAATGAGTTATTGGTTGATGTTTAGTAGTCTGACTTTGATTTTTTCGATGATGATTAATTTCTGATAATAACTTTTGATAGGCTACATCAAACTGATTGAATTTTGGAAAATCAATATAGACTTTTCCGCTTACAATAAATCCTAACCATCCATCAGGACGATATTTTTCTCTCACAATTAATGGTATTAGTCGACATTGTCTTTCATAAGCATAATGGGCTTCTGATTGACAATATGCACTTTGTTTATAACTATCTGACATACATATTAAAACAAATTCAGCATTTTCAATTGCATTTGCCATTTCTTGCATATGTGAACCATAACAATGATCTCGATCAAACCATACGCAAAATTTATCGTTAACCAATCGTTCGTGTATTTGATAACATAAGTTTTTATCAATATGTGAATAACTTATCATAACATCATATTTATATTTATTCGATAATGATTGTATAGAATAATGTTCATCTTTTTTTTCCAATTTCCATATAATACCTTCAGCTGTTTTTTGTACACCTTCGTCTTTCGACGTTGATGATAGCAATTTAACATGTTTCATGAAATGTTGATCATTTGTCAGTATATTTGCAGCTTTTTCATTGAATGTCATTGACCATAAAATTTCTAATGCACGTTGTTGTACTCGCTCAACATTAAATTTTGTTTCCAGAACACATCGAACTAATAATGGTATACCATCTGGATGTTTAGCAAGTTCATCTTTGATCTGTTCGTGTTGAACAAGACCTGTATTATTAGTAAAAATTGGTCACAGTTGCAAAGTGGACATAATAATACATTAATAATACTTACTTTTCAAGCTTAATAATGTATTTTGCAGTACTTTTTCTCGTAATAAATTGTCAATATATAATTTAATATAGTTAATAAATAATTTTATTATTTCTGCTGTATTCGATAATGTTTTGACATCATTTTCATTCATTATCATTGCTAATGTTCGATAAGCATCGAATTGTATACTTTTACAATTTGTCAATGCTAAATTTAAAATACTCATTGTTAATTGTTTGTCTTTAATAACTGTTAAAAGTGTCCCGTCAAATGTGAGACTGTATAAATAGACAAGAGCATAAACCATTAATGAGCTAATAACATTAGTACCAAATTTTTTCACTGTCATTTCGTTTACAAATGTTTTACAAATTAATATGTTTATGATATAATCAAGTAATAGTGAATGTTGAACACAATAATCACGACGTATTTGATCATTGAATGATATATACTGTAATATACAACAAACATATCTCATAGCTTGCAATATTGGTGAATTCCAATGAGAGACTGATGGTATAAATTGTTTAAATATATCCAAAAAACGATTTAACATGGTTTGTGCAATTTTACATTGTATGTCTTCTGAATGTTTTCCATCATAATATGTTAGATAATCTGGACATGTAATTAAAAAAAATTTTTGTTCAATAGTTAATGTGGATACGCAGTCTGTAGTTAGTACTATCTGAAGTTGATTAAACACATTTACATAATGAATAGAGTCAATAATATTCAAAATTGGTTCAATTAATTCTAATAATACGTCATCATCTTGTAAGTCTTTTTGTTTAATTTGCAATATTTTTAATCCATCTATCAATTTATCTAGTGTTAATAAAATATTACATTGTGTACCATTTGTAGCTATAGCAATGAGAGCTATTTTGATTGTTTCAATAAATGATGTATTTAAAAACAATATTTTAATCATCTCTACATTTGTATCATCCACATTTTCTATTATAATTGAAAATAAATTACTTGTTTGTTCTAAAACATTATTATTATTGTCATTATTACTGTTTAAAAGTGATATGAATGTATCGCGAATTAATAAAATAAGTTCATGATTCACTAATGTTCCATCAGCTAATTTTGACATATCAACATTATTATCTATTGTAGATATTACTTGATTTATGCATACGCGATTATTTTTATTTAAATCATCAACGATAGCATCAAACAATAATTTTAATTCTGTTATTGGGATGGTATGACCATGTTGCTTAAGTGTATCACAATAATTATTTATTGATAGTACAGAATCCATTTGATTATCGGGATCTATAAGTCATTGAAAAAATAACACGATTAGCATTCACAAGCTTTAACATGGAATATCAATTATTTATTATTAAAACAGAATTTAAGTAAGGCACACCAAATTCAAAGTTTACTTTTGGCTATATTAAGCATATTTCCATAGAGCTAGATTTTCAGAAACCGTTAGGTTATGAAATATATTGAATACTTTTTCCTGTTCATTTTCGAAACTCAGAAATGTTTTTCCGAATTCAGCTTGAAAAACTGTATATAGAAATGTTATTTGGAGGCTGCACAGTGGGCATTTAGGCGGCATTTTCTGAAAAAATCGTAGAAACGAAATTTTCTGTTTTGAAT